TATATATATATATATATATATATATATACATATAACGTTTTAGGTAAACATTTTGGGGCTTTGGCCCTCGTCTGCATGCGTTGTATGACGCAACAAAGGAACTTATGTTGTTTTTTTGTCTTTTTTGTTGAAGAAAGGAAAGCGGAAATAAACAGGAAGTATAGAGTATACAACAACAGCAGCAATTAAACTATTATATTAATAATAATAATAAATAATAATAATATAAATAATATAATAGTATATATACACTATAGTCTGTTACTTTTGTTGCTCTTAATGACTCCCCTTTTTATATGAATTGCCGGGTGTATCCTCATCTTTCCCCCTCTATATAAAAAATAATTAAATATTATTTACTATATAACAGTTATATATATCTGCATTCCTTTGTTGCGGTGTATGCATGCATGCATGCATGCCTTATGGTGTTGCAGCAAGCTTCCCTACTCAGGTGTACGTACACCTCAAGGTGTATGTACAGTAACACGTGTACACAGGTCGTACACCACCGACCCGAACCCCATGCCTGCTGCAGCACGAAGAGTTCCCCATCCCCATAGTAGCCGGTTACTAAGGTTACGAAGACCTTGAGGGTTCCTCTTAGCAGCAGCAGCAGCAGCAACAACAACAAACGACTTCCCTACACTTTTTAGTATAGAACGCATGCATGGGGCCTCTGCATGCGTTGGGGCTGCAAGTTGGACATTCCTCACATAATTAAGAGGGGAGGAAGCCAATACTCCTATGCATGCAGCAAACGTATTAACACCAAAGACAATTAGTACCCTTTCTCTCCCTTGTCTATTAAGGGCCTCTCCTGCTGCTCTTGGGGGCCCCTCCTTACTGGATGGCAGCAGCACCTCTTGGGGCCCCTCTTGCTGTTCTTGATGAGGGTACCCTTTGCTGCTGCTGCTGCTGCTGCTGCTGCTGCTCCTGTTCCTGCTGCTGCTGCTGCATTTAGAGAGGAAGAAGAGACGTGTTGAGGTGTATACACCACCAAATAAACTATCACGAACAAGAGTAGCAGCAAACCCTCGATAAAAACCCTTAATACCTGCAAACCCTCGCATATAAATCATAAAAAGGAGAAGGGTTTATGTTACTATAACAATAATAATAATAATTATTATTATTATTATAATAAAATTATAATAATAATATAATACAATAATATATAATAAAAATGTGTATATGCATATATTAACAAGGATGCATATACACTTTTCTATGCAGCAACAGCAGCAGCAACAGCAGCAACAGCAGCAGCAACAGCAGGAACAGCAGCAGCAGGAGTATATAAATGCTTACCTCCTTGTTGAATAATATTAATTAAGGAAGGAAAGAATAAAGTATTATTATTCCAACAAATATATTTAATTACAGTAAAAGGATGACTAAGAAATGAGCAACAAATACCCGAAAATATTCCTGACATAAATATTGCAAAAGGCTGAAGTGTACATACACCTGAAATTTCTCGCGCATTATAATGTAATGGTTTACTACTCTCCTGCTGCTGCTGCTGCTCCTGCTCCTGCTCCTGCTGCTGCTGCTGCTGCTGCTGCTGCTGCTTGTTGTTGTTGGTATACCCTTTCTCCTTTGCACGTTGGAGGGCAGAAATCACACGTTGGAAGAAACAACAAAAATAATCCTCTATGCATAAACAGAGAGGAAAAAAAACACCGTAAACCCTAAACCCTAAACCCTAATAAGAAGCTATCAGCTGCATCCTCGATGTCTAAACTGTAGCACCTATATGGCCGTATCCTAAACCCTAAACCCTAAACCCTTAAGTCGCTCGTCGGCGCCTTGGACTTTTCCGCTAAACCCCATTCACTAAACCCTAAACCCTAAACCCTAAACCCTAATTCTTCCTTACCAATAGGAAAGTACAGGCCAGTACTTAAGAATCTTCCTGCAAATGCCTGTAGAGTGCAACGAAAAGGATTTGCCCAATTCTCTCGAGACAGGAGAGGACGACAAGTTGTGCTGCTCAAGTACAGAGCTGCATATACACCCCAAATAAAAGAAATCCTGTTTATATATAAACTTTATAGAAATATTGCCACTATACTTTATTCATTATGCATGCATGAATCCAGTGTACATACACCTGGCGCACGGTATCTACGAGCAATATGCTGCAGTTGCTGCGCATGCACCAGCAGGAACGGAATGGCAGCACTGCCAGCACAAACAGCTGCAGCATGAGCACCAACAGCAACCGCGCCAACAGCGGCAGCAGCTGCAGCAGCAGCAGCAGCAGTACTACCTTTATCCCAAGGATTGAATACGGCAGCTGTGATTGCGCCCGTAAGAAGAGCAGAAAGAAGATCGCGATTTACGCTGCCTGTACACCTGGAGAATTCAAACTTTTCTGATGGATTCGTCTTCGTGCTGCTGCTGCTGTTGCTGCTGCTGCTGATGCTGTCGTAGTTGCTGCTGTCGTCCTCCTTGTCCTTGTGGTTAACGCTATTGCTGCTGTTGTTGCTGTTGTTGCTGCTGTTTCTGCTGCTGCTGCTGCTGTCGTTATTGCTGTTTACTCTCATCCCACACGCCCTGTAAATTTAATGAAACAGAAGACATCCAGCCACAGAGCCTGCTGCTGCTGCTGCTGCTGCTGCAGTTGATGGTGTTTTTGCTGCTAACCTTCTGGTGCCTCTGCAATGGTGATGCCACCGCAGTCGTCTGTTGGATCACAACACGCGAGCTCAAGTCTAAGGGTTTAGGGTTTAGGGTTTAGGGTTTGTGTGCATTCTGCAAATGGCAAAAGAAAAGAATTAGGAAGAGAAGGAGAAATTACTGTTATTCATTATATTTAAGGAAAAATAAAATGTAATTTATATAGCGAAACCCTATACAGGGAAGGTGGACTGACTGCCTGCAAAAGAAGTACAACTAGGGAAACTGCGAGGGAGCCGCTGACTCAAATGCGCGGCTTAAGAAGGAATTTATTTGAATTCAAATAATATTTTATTTCAGTTTATGTTTTATTTATTTATTTAACTTTCTATTTATTTGTGTGTGTTTACCACGCTAGCCACCAAGGAACAGACAGCTGTTGCGCATGCACGATGCCTTCGCCTGCTCGCCGAGCACCGGATTTTCTTTAATAACTTTGCAAATAATAGTACCATTGACTAATATTAATTGAATAAATTTATTTCATGAAGTACAAAAGTCTCGTTATTTATAATTGCACTCCTCCTTGTATTCAGCTGCCGCTAAGCTGCAGCATCATCCCCCAGCAGTGCAGAAGAAATGCCAACATCCGTTAGTGCATGCAATTATTTTTTTGGTTAAAGTTAATTGAAATGGTATTTAAATGAATTTATAAGTGACAAATAAAGGAAATATACAGATAAAAACGGAAGATCGTACGTTTGCCATCGATCCTCCTGTCACCCTGTCTACATCCTTTCGTGTGTTGTTGGTGTCTGTTACCGCATCATTAATGAGGGAAAACTGGTAATAAAAAGGAATTGTATCCTGCATTTTATTCCAAAAACAGGCTCTTAATAGTTGCTGTTTTATGAAAATATGAATATATTATAATATTTTACCTACTTAATCAATAAGGAGGGGGGGATAAGGAGGTATACAAAAATGTACAATAATATGAATATGCAGTCGGGAACAGTCCGCTGACGACCAAACAAATGAATTACACAGCAAGTATACATACACCGGAAAATAATTTATAAATAATATAATAATATATTCCCGTCACGTAATGCTTCTTACACCACAATTCCTCAGTTATACACATTCATATCATTATTTACTCTGATATTCCCCTTCCCCTTCCCCTGTTAACAGGCTAAATAGTGTTGTTGCACATTGAAGTTTCATGAAATAATGCAAAAAGCCCCCCAATTCAAAGTAATTCAATTCCATTGATACAAGCACTGCTGCTGCAGGCGCAGCGCAGCAACAGCAACAACCCCCGGAGGAAGAACAGCTGCTGCTGCAGCAGAGAAAGACCCGCGCAAAAAGAAGAGTAACAGCTCCTTCGGCCTATATATCTGCATGCAAGCAGCAGCTGAAGACAGCAGCATGCAGCCCCATGTATCTTGAATAGTTGTTCAGATCTATATATATAGACCGCCGCCGTGACTATATATACAATTCTTGCTCTCGCTCTCTCTTGCTCTCTTGCTCTCTCTGCCTCTCCCTGTTGCAGCTTGACTTGTTCTTGTGCATTGTCCCTGCATATCCTGCCAAAGGAAGTTCCTTTTTTTGCGCTTTTTTATTTCGCGCTGGATATTCAGAAAGACGACAGCAGCAGCAGGAACAATTGCTGCACCGATCGGTACCAACGCGGCCATCGTTCTTGGCCTCTCTCTGCCTCTGTGCCCCTGCACAGACCCCTTTTCTGTACAAATGTAAATATATAACCTTGGATGTGTATGTGTTTGATGTATTCATGTGTACGCACACTCCACAATGGCAAAGAATCGTGGAGCATGATGGGGTAAGCAGTTCCATTTGGGGCTGTCAACGCATGCATGCAAAAATAAAATGCGTCTGCATGCGTGAAGTTACAGCGTGATGGTACAAAATGAATGCACAGCAGGTTGCAGGCGTGCATATGCATGCATGAATGCGTGCATGTAGGCAATCGTATAGTAGGTTATCTGTGTTTGTATACTGATGATATTTTTAACTGTTATTTTATTGAATAATAATATCTTTTGTTTAATTAACCTCTGGGCCTCCTCCCGGGGCCTCCTGGGCCCCCCCCTCTATTGAAATTACCTCTTCCTTTTCCTCTTCCTCCTCTCCTTCCTCCCATATACCTGACAGTAAAGTTTGCAGCCCCCTCACCAAATGTATCAATATCTAATGCCCTATTTTGTCTTCCCCCTAGACGGCGTCCTCTGCCATCTTCTGGTCCCTTCCCTTCGTTCTGCTGCTGCTGCTGCTGATCCTGACCACCACCACCACCAGCACCACCACCCCTCTTATCCAATGCCTCACAAGAAATTGAATCAAAAAAGGAAAGATTCTTATCATATGCTACTACTGGCTCCGCAAATTCTTTCCCCTCCCCCATCGTTGCTGCAAAAAAAAGAACAATAAAATTAAAAAAAATTCATCATTGTATACCACTAACTCTAAGTAACCACGACTACATACATCTGCATCCTAATATGTGCTGCATGCAGCAACACAACGAATACGTACTATAAAAAAAAAAAAAAAAAAAAAAAAAAAAAAAAAAAAAAAAAA